AGAATTTTAGCTGAGTTTTAGCTTCTTTAGCAGAGTTCTTTGGAAGATTAGCATGAGTTAATTTATTTAAAGTGCCTAGCTAACATTTGTATCTGCCTTACACTCAGTATTCTTGTTCTTGTTTTGCCTTTAGTTTGTGTCTGTGAGTAGTAAAGCCTTAATGAAGCAAAGGAGTCATATCCTCCTATTCCTTTGTGGCTCTGGATAGCTAGATACAGATTATATAAACATACTTATACACTATAGCTTTTTAAATATCTGAAGACTATCCTCCATGTTCATGTATTATTTCCATCCTATTTTCAGTTATCATCTGCTGCCTTAAAAGAAGGTTGTTTCTTAAATAATGAAACTCTTTGAGATTAAGGATTATTTTTAAATACTTCTGCAGCCTAATGAGTAGGAGAATGTATCAAAATAGTATATAAGAATTTCTGCATATGAAACCTTTATAATTATTAATTTAGCATTCTCAGTTACATATTACATTGTTCGCTGTCAGAGATAACATTGGGCAATCTAATACTCTATACACAGAACTAGAAGATTCATTTTGAATCTGCGTCTGAGGGATGCTCTAATTTTTCCTTCTCTCCCTGCTCACCCCTTTCCTTTTGTCCTGTCCTAAATAAAAGCATGGGCTTAGTACTTCACTCATGGTGTGCTGTGAAAAATGTTGTAGATCTTTATGTTTCAATCACAGATCCCTTGAGGTTTTCCACTTCTTTGAGATATGCAGCCATGTGTTTATTGGTACCACAGTGAAAATGTTTTATATGTATTACATTAGTTTTCTGTAAGTTTCTTAACTGTGTAAATACCTCCGCCTTACAAATGTAAACCTGAGGTGCAAAGACAGATATCTTCCGGAGAAGGTGTTGGAGAGAGGAAGCGCCTGTTTTCTATCGAGGCTGTTGGCCCGTGATGTCTGTGTGCCCATGTGGCCTCCGCGGCAGGGTGCTCACAGCACGCTGTGCCTGGTGCCCGCACGGCCCTCCGTGTGCTCTTGTCTGCAGAGTGCTGCCTTGTGTACCTTGCCCTACCCCGGGGTGGCGTGGGGAATCACAGCCCCCAGGTGCAGGTCGGGGTGCCTGTGGAAACTTGTTCTTTGGTAACACAAGTTAAAAAGGAAGCAACAGCACGGATTTATGACAGAACGTTCATGTTCATGGAGACAGGAGTGAACACAGGGAGGGGCTGCAGCTTGAGAAGGCAGGCAGCTAAGGGGCGGGGGATATGGGGCGCCTTTACGGGCGTTGTGGGCTGGCAGGGTCCCCCTGAGCTGTTAGTGTGACCTGTCGTTTCAGAGGATTTCCTCCTAGCGTAAGATCATGGTACCCCTCAGCGGCTACCTATTCCTCCGAGGGAGGCGGGTCAGCATGTCCAGGGGTCCTAGCAAGGAAGGAAGAGCTGTTTGCACACTAGGTGGGGCCAGGCCCCGGGACAGGCCCAGCTGTCCACGTCTCATGCTCCACGAGGGGGAGTGACCATTTCCCTTTGACCTGTGGGAACAACATGCTGGCCAGTTCTAGGATACACTTTGTTTTGGTATCAGGCATCTCACTTGCCCTTGCCATGCAGACCACACAGCAGGCTTCAGGCCCCTGGGCTCGCTGGACCTGCTTAGCCTCAGAGGACACCAATGAGCATAGCTGTGTCCCACAGACTGTGTTGCATGCCAGGTCATGGCTGACCTTCGTCCCGTGTGGAGCGTTCATGCCTACAGTAGTCATCTGTTGAGCCTTTGCCTCTGTGTTCTGTCCTTAAACTTCCATGTCCATCCTGCAGTTACCATACCCACTCCATTCGTGTGTGTTTCTGCCTCCAGGTTGGCTCACTCAAGTTCACAGCGCGTGTGTAGCTTTGGTTCTTTTGTGTGGGTGATCTCTTCAGGTCTTTACCCTGACAGAGGACGTCTCAGTCTGTGGACTGTCACTCCCTGGACAGCCTAAGTGGACGTCTATCGATGGACAAGCAAATTGGATTTTCTAACATGGTGCTGAGAGTGTAACTCACTGTAGTTCGGGCCTCTGCCTTGGTCGTCCAGGTAGGTACCACAGAGTCACCAACGCGAGGCCATGCCTGTAAAGTTGCCCCGAGTGGTGACACTGCAGGCCTAGACTTGAGTGGTGGTGCAGCGACACCTTTAAGGGCTCCCCTGTGGGGACCAGGCAGCCTGCAGTTCTCTCTGCCATGAGCTCGCCATATCAGGCTGCTCCCTGACTCCTGTCCCTCTGGGTCCCTTTCTGCAGCTGCAGCTGCAGCTGCTGTCTTACAAACAGTAGGAGCACACAGCCCCGGTGTGTGTGAAGCTGCTGAGCTGCTGGTGATGGCAGGGGACCCGAGCTCACGTCTGCTCTCCCTCCAGCCCACTCTGGAGAAGGCTCAGACCGCTCTTGCAGTGGAGCAGTCCCGAGGGCGGGTGCTGCTCTGCACACAGTCATGAGGACAGTTCAGCTCCCGTGTGAGTTTCATTCTGACTGTGTTATCCGCGGCTCAGGAGTGTGTGTGGTGGTGGCCCTGCCTGCTAGGGCTCTGGTGAGAGTCAGCACTGAGAACTTGTGTCGTGAATAAAAGTACCGTGCCGGCCATGAGATACACGACAGTGAGAAATCTCTAGCAGCACGGATTTGAGGAAGTTAGACTCGTTTCCCATTTACCATGATGAGGAGAAAGAGGAGGACATACGAATAACATTATTTTGTTCCGCTTCGCCACCGCTGTCCTCCCTGTGGATGGCTCTGAGGAACCCGTCTCCTCTGTTTACCTTTCACAGCTGTGTGAGCTGGCTCTCGGTGGCTGTTCACGAAGTGAATGAGAACTTGTGTTTTCATCTTCAGGTGCTGATTTCCCAAACATTCTATTTTCTATAAGATCCAGTTTTTCAACTTTATTTTTTATTTTATTTATTTATTTATTTATTTATTTTGTCTTTTTCATTTTTATCGGTACCGGGGATCGAACTCACGACTGCCTGCTTGTAAGGCAGGCGCTTATGCCGCTGAGCTAAATCTCCAGCCCCTTCAACTTTATTTTTTATTAGTGCATATTTGTCATACGTAATGATCATTTTTATCAGAGGGAATCCGTACCTTACATAATATAGCTGAATTGTTTTTTCCCATCCCTTCCCCTCCCTTCCACCTTTCTTGACCTCCCCACTTATGAAAGCTTTTCTTCCATTGTTTCCTTCTGTTCCCTTCTTTCCTTCCCTGTCCCCCTTCCCACTTGAACATCTTCCTGCTTCCCATAGCTGTCCTCCATGATGTTCCTTATTTACCCTTGAGTTTCTAAGTTTCTGAGAACAACAGTGCAATATTTAAACATGCGTGCCGGTTTATTACACTTAGGAGCGTGGTTTCCAGGCACATCCGTTTTCCTGCAGATGACTCGTTTGTCTTTCTGTATGGCAGAGGGGTGCAGTACCACATTTTCCTCAGCCAGTGGTCTTTTGGTGGGCATGAGGGCCGTTTCCAGGGTTTGGTTGTATAGATGTGGTGCTGTAAACCCAAGTATGTGTTCATCACTGTGCTGTGATACTTTCAACCCTCTTGGGGAGTTTTTCCTAGAGGGGAACCCCTGCCTCAGCGGGACTTCTAGTTTCAGTGCTTTGAGGAAGTCCTCACTGTTTTCCACTGTGGTTGCGCCAGTCCACACTCCTTTCAGCGGTGCGGAAGGGCTCATTTCTCCCCAGCAATTTCTCACCAGCATTTGTTATTGCTTGATTCTTGATAATAGCTATTCTTTCCGAAGTGAGATGGAATCTCAGCTTTGTTTTAATTTGTATCTCTCGAGTGACCAGTGATGTTGAACATTTTTCATGTATTTATTTGCCATTTGTACTGTTCATCTGAGAAGTGTCTCTTCATTTCAGATGCCCATTTTTGGATTTGGCTTTTAAGTTTGGGGGAGGGTCTGATTTTTTTGAGTTCTTTATATATTCTGGGTGTTAGTCCTTTGTCTGAGGAGTAGCTGGTAAAAGTTTTTCCCACTGTGTGAGTTGTTTCTTCACCGTTGGTAATCTTTTGCCGCGCAGAAGCTTTTTAATTTGATAGATCCCTGCTGTTGGTTCTTCATAATATTTCTACTATGATTGGGGTTTTGTTCAGAAAGTCTTTGTCTACAGCTGTGTTTTCCTCAGTGATACCTGTTCCATCTTCCAGCAGTTTAGATGTCTTTGTTTTTATTTTTGATCTTTTATCCATTTTGATTTTGGTTTAGTGCATAGTGAAAGACATGGAAAACCCGGTTTTGTTTATTTGTTTTCTTTTTTGAGACACGATCTGTTGCTCTATATTCTAGACTGACCTTGAACTCACTGTGTGGCCCAGACTGACCTCAAACTCATGGTGACTCTCCTGCCTCAGCCTCCCAAATGTTGCAATTGTAGGTATAAGACCTATTTTTGAGTCTAAAAATGTAAAGAAAATGATTTATTATTCACTTTAATGTTGTTTGCTATTCTACAAATTAATCCCTGACTCATACTTCCTGCTTTTGGGGAACCTTTATTCTCCATGACAACACTTCCCCCATTCTTAAGGCCTCCTGGTGTTCCTTCTTATAGAAAATATGGTATTCCATACAAGTATGTTTAATCTTGTGAACAGATGCAGTTAATAGCTCATATATTAAAATGAGTGTTAAAAGTTGGCTGTGAGAGGTTGTAACTCAGTGATAGAGCTCTTGCCTAGCATGCATGCCACACACACACACACACACACACACACACACAGGCATACATGCACACACATGCACACACACGCACGATGTATGAAAGCCATCACACCATTAGAGAGCAGTCTGGGCCTCAATTTTTCTTACCATACCATTAGATTTATTTATTTATTTATTTATTTATTTTTATTTATTGATTGATTTATTTTTTGTCTTTTTCCTTTTTATCGGTACCGGAGATCAAACTCACGACTGCCTGCTTGCAAGGCAGGTGCTTATGCCGCTGAGCTAAATCCCCAGCCCTATTTATTTTTTTTAAACAGGGTCTTGCTGCATTGTCCAGGCTGGCCTTGAACTCACCGTGTGGCCCACGTTGGCCTCAGACTCGAGGCAGTGCTCTCCTGCCTCTGTCTCTCAAATGGTGGGATTACAGGTGAACACCACTGCAGCCAGGTAATTTTTAATAGTTAGAAAAAAATGCTTCTGTGTATTTCTGTGCTCACCCATGTATTTCTATGCTCATTCATGTTTTATTATAACTGTTAGACTGAACCATAAAAATTATCGATTCTTTAACCTCTCTGAACCTAACAAAAACGATGATTTCCTTTGATCCTGTCTAATAGAAAATAACGCTTTTTTCTAAAAGTCTATTTTGTTCATTGTGATTTGGGTTGATTTTAGCAGCTTGTGACTTTACATCAGACAATTTCATTTTTAAATCCTGAAGAAAAAAGACATCTTGAAACACACTATTTAGTTGGCACCACAGGTGAAGCCTCTAGTACTTTGGTACAAATGCATGGCTTTTCATGGTTTCTCTCTAATCCCAGCCATAAGCCTGTCAGGGAGAACTGATTGGCACAGCGAGGATAGGAGCCTGTTTGAGGACCTGTCTTGGAAATCACTCCAGAGGCTTCATTAGAAGTGAATCCCCCTTACCAAGGAACTGAAACAGGCTTTTCCTTTTGAAGGTCAGAGTGTGGATTAATTGCTGATGTTTTAAAACCACCAAGTGCAAGGTACTTTTGGTTGTACTTCTGTGATGAATGAAAAAATTATTTTGTCCTTTTTAAAAGTTTGATTTTCCTTTGATCTGGATGCGAATGATTTTCTAAAGATTGGTAGTCATTCCTGGGTTGTGTTCCAGATTTTAACTGGAGTCCTGGGTTGTTTGTACAACAGACGCAACTAGATTGGATGTTCTGGCTTTTACAGTACTTAGTCATCTTCTTGATTTTCATGCTTGATTGTTTTATACCTATTTTATTGGATATATGAAATGACAAACGTGTAAATTGCTTTTATTGTTGATCCTGTGAAAGCACCCATCCTCTTGTTTTTCCTGATACTGCAGTTAGGTTTGTTTACCGGATGTACCTTTTTTATTAATTCCAGGTGTCATTTACATACTGAGGGCAGGTAGTGTGTGGGTCTGGCTGCTGAAAGGAAGTTGTGGACCAGGTGCAAAGCTCAAACCTGTAGTAAGGTCTGTGTGTCTGAAATGTGATGTCATATTTTCTCAACAGCTCAAAGCTGGATGGGACTTGCAGTGTAGAGCGAGAAACCATGACCTGTCATACCTTTATATTTGTGACTCATCCAGAGAGTAGGATGAAGGTATTCAGAGGTAACCGGAAGTGCACTATTTCTTTGTGGAATAGGTTGTATTTGAGATGAGGAAAATACTGCACCCAGGACTTTGTATTCACCTTTAGATACCAGTCTCTCAAACAGTGCAGAGAAATCCACAGGGAAATACTGGGATTGTTTATCCCAGTTAGTGCACTATAATTATCCCAGTTGGTGCACTACAAACCAGGAGCAGAATTCAAGAATAGTGACTCAGACTTCTCCTGCTGATCTGATCTGATCTGACCTGATCTAATCTTTCTTGGCAAACTCTCAGATCCTTTGCCCTGGGCTTTTAGAAGTTGTCTCTTTGATGTTTTTGCCTTTTCTTTTTGAAACCCTCTGTTGTGGTTTGAATGCCTGTGCTGCAGCCTTCAGGTGTTGAGGCTGACAGTCATTGTGACAGGCGATGTGGTCCCTCCCTGGGTGGATGAAGCACGGACAGAGAAGCTGCGCACCGCATTCTGTGTCTTGCCCTCCATCTCCCACCGTATGAGGACTCAACTTCCCGACTGCTCTGAGGATGCAGCAAGTGCTGTCCTGGAAGCAGAGGACAGCCCTCGTCTGACCACCGGTTCCTTCTGTGGCTGCTCTGCTGTCTTACAGAGAGCAGCCGGAGCATTGTGTCAGGTGCAGAAGCCAAACCTTTCCAGTTTGGAAGTCAGAACTGCAATGCGAATCCACAGTAGAGCAAACCTATCAGATCATTTCTCTGTTTCCTGTAAGCTCTGGCTTACAGTGTTAAAATGCAGCCACAAGTTCTTAGCATTCTCAGGACCTGGAGGGCTGCTGCTCCTCTCTGGAATATCAAGCTTCGTTGTGATTCCTTTGACATAGCAGCAGGTTGGGTTAAAGGAAGGCAACACTCCCTGGATACACCAGTAGCTGGTGAAGCTGGAGTTGATGAGTGAAGTAAAGGAAGTGTACCTGGCTGTGATTTTCTGTTTGTTTCATAAGAAAGCAGTAAAGTTGCAGGACCATGGCATCAGGGAGGGAGGTGGAAAGAACATTTTGTACTAATTGTTGTCCCACTCGTCCTGATGTGATGGTTGAAAGATTTTACGCCCGGGAGCAGAAAGTGCTGATGCTGATGCAGTATGTTTTATCATTTCCTAAGAGGTATTTGGGAAACAAGCTCTTCCCTACTTCCTGTTGGCTTGGACACAGGCAGTTGAAGCATTGATCTGACAGTTGAGTGTAATTCCTCTTGAATGTCAAGCAAAAATCAGATCATGTATGTGTAAGACTTCAGTGTGAAGTTTCACTACTCCCAAATTGGCAATGTCCAGCGTAACTTTTAGCAGCAGTGGAAAATGATCCGTATTGGTTCTACCCATCACAGTGGTCACTAGCCAGACTTGAAATGTGCTTCATGCAGTTGAGGAAATAGACTTTTCACTTAATATCTTTAAATCAATTACATTTTAAATGAAATTGAAACTGCATGGCCGCCATAGTGGGCCACCACATGGGGCAGTATAGACTCTGGCTCTGTGGTAGTCCAGACACTAAGATTCCTTTAAAAGGTCTAGGTGTGCCACTTATTTGGAATTTGGTTCGTTCACCCAGCTTCGGATATTTTTGTGGTCAGACATCATCATTCCTTGCTGTGTAGCTGAATTTCATTGCAGCTTGGGTCCCTTCTTTGCAGTTTAGGAGATTTAAAGGAGTTTTAAGTTTGGATGCTGTTTGTCCCATAGTGCAGTATGCAGAGTTGGCTTGTTGGGGCCATTAGGCTTCTGCAGGCAACCTAGCTTCGTGCTAGGTTGAAAACATTTCCCCACATCTTCCTTCCCGCTTAGCAGGAGCGTATTGTTGGCCTTGCTCTGCCGTTACAACACAACCTTGTCTGCAGCCCTTCCCTGAGTTCACCATGGGTTCTAGCTCCGCAGAGTGCTGAGACCCACACGTGCTTTGTGTACACACAACCCGTTGGTGTGAAGTCAGTGCACTGAACTTTTGTCTAAGACTTAGTTAGCAAGTCCCTGTAGGTAGCTGCCTCTTCTCTGTGTTTCTGATGCACTGTTAGTCATGGCAGCACTTGACACACTGTTTGGAATGTCTTTCAGCTTAGCTATGCGTCCCACAGGGTACATACAGTGTGATTTAGCTTTTCTATCACTAGCATTGAAGGAAATAAAAGCTAGCATGCATGCATTTTTATAGTTTCACTTTATAATTATTGGAGCCCAGTGTTTTTGGTAACTAAGAACTAAATTTTATATTTATAAAGGAGAAGTTAAAGTTACTTGTGTAATCAAGACTACAGAAAAAATATCACCTCTTTAAGAGAATTGACAAGTTATAAATAACAGATGATTCATTACCTTCAGATTTTCATACAAATAATTTTATGATAAGTATAAGGCAATTAAAATATTACTTAAAGCAGAAAACAACAGAAACGTTTATGAAAATGACCAGAGCTTACATTCTTGAAAATAACGATGTATTTAACATGTATTTTATTGCTGTTTAATGTTCTTTGCCTATTTTTTTCTTCACTGCATTTTCATTTGAATGTTGACATTATTTGCATTTATTTCATAGCTTGAAAGTACAAATCATGGCAAAAATTTAGTTTCCAGTTTTATATTTTTTATACATATAGTACACTAATGTATGATTAAAGTTTATTCTGTGCTGGATTTTTTAAAAACTTAAGTGATAAGTCTGTACATCTTGGTTGTGTAGAATTTCCCAAATTTTCAAATAGAAGATCTGGAGCTGGAAATAGGAACTGCAGCTTGAGAAGACGAGGCTGTACCTGCACTTGGGCGGTTGGTGATGGATAGGGACGGGGACCCAATGCACAAAGGCTGGGGAAAGTGTTCCTGCACGACTCCTATGCCTAATCCAACCAGACAAAAATAAAAGAGTAGAGAAATGTGGGGAACATAGCTCTCAGTGTTACTACAATGAGAAGGAAACCGAGTTCCAGGTTGTGGACTGCAAGGACTGTGGACAGTGTGGATGCTGGGGTGAACTGAGGAAGCCTGTGTGTACTGACAGGTCACAAGCGGCGTGCAGCTCGCTCACAGAAGGCCCCCAGGGCCTGTTGGGGCAGGTGAGGTGGGTGCAGGGGGAGGAAGCCACTGCAGAGGAGGTGGCGCTCAGCACTGTGGTCTCAGCATCGGTGGATGTCAGACAGCTCAAGAGATGCAAACCCTCAGTCCCAGCACAGACAGCAGGCGGCTAGACGCTTCCCTTCTCTCCGAGCTTCTCTAGCTATGCTCATCCCTCAGTGAGGACTTTTGCCCTAGACCAGAGGTGGGCTACACAGGCTGTTGGTGTCAGTGGAAACGCAGAGAAATGCGCCACCATCACCCGCCTGACAGTCTAAAGGGTTGCCCAAGGTTTCTGTTAGGTGTGGACTCCTGAGAAGCATCGCTTCACTCTGCAAGCCAGTACAGCAGCCCTGCGACATCCTGCTTCCATAGTACTTTGTTTTTCTTTACAGCCGTCTTCGTGCCAGGGGTGTGTGGATTTCTGTGGGCTGTGGTTCCCCTTCATTGGAATCCAAATGAGCTTTTGTCCTTGCCTGCATTTATAGAACTCAAACATTGCCTAGCATATAGTAGCCACTTAATAGATGCTTGTTACATAAGTTGTAAAGCAGGCGATTGGACGTACAGACGTATTTTCCATCAGGTTGGCATGGCACTGCTGCCCCGTGTAAAAATGGTGCTCCACAGAGACAGACAGCCTCACGACACACTGACAGGCAACAGCCATGGCCATCCTGATGATGATCGCCATTCACGTAAAATAACAAAAGGAACAACATTCGTGAGTTCGTTAGACCTTTGAACGCTGAGTAT